GACACTAACTGTAAGCTCAAGGGGCCCCAGTTTCCTTCACTTCTGGTTGGCTGGTTCTCATGACTCTCTCTGGTTCAATAATTTGTTGGAATGACTTAACAGAACACCTGGAAAGGGTTCTACTTAATGATGACAGCTTTATTGTAGAGGGAGAAGAAATGACAGGGTACAAAGAAAGAGAAACAAAAGAATGAGGCCTCGAAGAGTTCCCCAAAGGACTCCATGTCCCAAAGGGCACCCTACCATGTCCTGTGCATCAGTGCCTTTCACCAACCAGGAGTCCATGGAGCTTCCGTGTCCACAGTCTTTACTGGGGGTGTGTGTCTCATTTTGCAATACAAATTCAGTCTCTTTCCCTTGATGTAGGTCTGATACCAGGAGGTGATCTGATACAGGAGGTACTGGGTCCTTCTGGCCTGGACAGCCCCTATCCCAGAGTCCCCTCATCACCACACCTAATCTGTAGCCTAGAATGCTTACCAAAGACCCTTAAAGTCCAAGGTGGTTTTTGTTTTAGAGATTACCTATCTGGAACCTAGGACCAGGACCCAATTCTTTGGATAAAGTTAATGTAAACTCCACATTTAGATAGTTCCTGAGTTCCAACTCAGCACCCATGGCTCACACTCACTGCTCTCCAGGCAGTCTGACTCACCGCAGAACTGCCTAGGTGAGTTTCTGAGACTGGAACTCTTCACAGGAGTGGACAGCCTCATCTTTCCCTTACAGAGCTGGTGATTTAGGATTGCTAACCTTGCCGTTAGCCATCCAGCACATAAGCACAGAGTTTCTCAACCTGTGGGTCAGGACCCCTTTGGGAAAACACCTATTTCTTTTTTTTTTTGAAAACACCTATTTCTGATGGTCTTAGGAACCGAGACGTTGCTCCTCTATCCGTTTCCAGGCAGGTCGGCCCACATGCAGATATGCCCATAGATCAGTACCCAGCGTGAAGACTGTTACCCATGCTATACCATGCTTCAAGACAAAATTGCATTTATTTGTAATTATAAATATTTCACAATGTATAATTACATATTGTTTTGTTTTTAATCACTATGCTTTAATTGCGTTCAATTTGTAACAATAAAAATACATCCTGCATATCAGATATTTACATTGTGATTCATAACAGTAATAAAATTACAGCTATGAGTAGCAAGGAAGGAACACTATGGTTGGGGGTCACCACATGAGGAAGTGTGTGAAAGGGTCTCGGCATCAGCAAGGTTGAGAACCACTGCGTCAGCACTACGCCGCCAGGGCTCCTCTAGCAGTCACAGTGCTAGGCCCTTCACAGACCTGGCCCAGGCTGCTGGAGCAGTCTGCCACATCCTGTTCCCACTGAGTCGCTGCTGGGTTAAAATTGCTGGCCTTTAGGATGGCAGCCAAGCACTTAACCAGTGCACAACCAGGGCTCCTTCCACAACTAGGTGCAGATGGGGAGTCAGCAAGAGCACTGAGGGTTAGGTGAGCTGACACAGGACCTAGAGCCAAGGAGTCATGATCAGGGTCAGCAAAAGGCTAACCTATGAAGAAAGACATCAAGCAACATAAACAAAACGGGTACAGTAATTTGAACATTACCGTGAAGTAAAGAGACCCTTTATAAGGAGATAAATCATAAATCAGTGTGACCACGTAAGGGAACTGAACCTTCATAAAGACCAGGAACAGAGGAACACTGGCTGTATGTCTCCCTTGTGCCAGGCCCGGGGACTTCCCGAATCTACTTGTTCACTGCCATCAAGTTGATGCCAACTCACAGTGACCCTAGAAGGCAGAACACACTGCCCTGAGGGCTTCCGAGACTGTGACCCTTTACGAGAGGAGAAAGACTCACCGCTACATTTCTCCCTCGAAGCGGCTGATGGATTCAAATTGATTCCCTTATGGTTAGCAGCACAATTTGTAACCCACTATACTCCTAGGGCTCCCAAATCAACTTAGGTAACGTTCAAATTAATTCACAATTAACGTCACAAAACAATCGGTGTGTAAGTTATTAAATGGGAAACGAATTTGCTCCCTAAGCATTCGCCTAAAGCAAAATAAAGTGTTCAAAAACCAAAAACAGGATTAACCTGTGCAGTATCACCATCCTAAGAGAATGGGAGAGAGGGAGATTCTGTTTCGGATTCTTGCTCTACTATTCACTAGGGAGCTTTGTGGTTCAGTGATGAAACTCTTTCCTTCCCTGCCCACCCACTGGCACAGCACTATTCATGTGGAGGCTGGTGTGTTGTGATGCTGACCCGTTGAGTTTCCAAGCTGAGAAGCAGAAGAAAGGCCTGGTGAAGTGCTTCTGAAAACCAGCCAGTGGAAACCACTGATGCAACAGCTGCCAAAGTTGTGATCTCACAGTTTGGCATTTCCAGTTTTAAGCAAACTTGTTGGCACCAGCAAATAAAGACTTGGTGGGTGTCAGCATTACACAAACGTTAGCTAGCTGAAAGACCTGATCATCCCAACAATCTCTTAAGCAAGTTCAAAGCTAATGAGCACAATTTTATGGAAGGAATTATAATGGGATTAAGAAGGTCCAATCAAAACAGTGGCCTCCAAGAGGATCTGCTGGACCAGTTATTTTACAGCAGAAAGATCGGCTCAAGATGCTTATGGCCACTGTTTTGGGGGATTCCAAAGGAGAGGTCTTGGCAAGTTTTCCTGATAAGGCCACAGGACATGGGAGATTAGTTTGAGGAAAAGTGAAAACTGCATGGGTAAAGAAGAGTTCTTGCAGGTAAGTTGCATCAAGGGATTTTTCCATCACCACAATACATCTACTTAGTCTTTGAAGATAGCAAGGGATGACATGCTAGAGTTTCATTGGAAAACCTTACCCGGTCCATCCTACAGCTCTGATCATGCCCCAAAGGGGTAGCTTTTTGCTCCCCAAACGCAAACATTTAAAAGGAACACCATCAGAGTCTCTCAAAGATGCCAAACCTTCCCCTTTGACGTGGCATAAATCAAAAGCCAAGACTTCTCTAGAGGAAGTAAGAGATGGAAATAATGCCTTAAGTGTACAGACCTAGATGAGAAGATATGTCAAGAGACACACATTCACATTTTGATATTTTTGTTTAACAAAGGTTTCTATGATTTCGTAGCAATATCTGTATCTTGCTTATATTAGATATGTTGCCTATTGATCAGTGTTCACTGTATGAAGGATGGTAAGACTTTGTCGCTTATACAGGAGAGAACAGTCCCTGGAGAAGGACATCATGCTTGGTAAAGTGTGGGGACCAGACCCCACAACTGAATGGGTCCAAGGGGTAATTGAAAGTTAAATTAAAGAAACATCAGACAAGACATGCTAAGGGTAACGTATTCCATGACAAGCGAAACCATAGAGTGAGGGAATGCATTCCTTCTTGGGCACGCAATACATACATGTAACAGGAATGGGTTGTCTTAGAGGCATGCACATAACAGGAAGGGGATGAGCTAGGGCTTACACTTGACAGGAAGGTAAATGTGTAAAAGATGGGCGGGCTCTAGAGTTAAGATGGGGGGAGGGTCTCTGAGCTGGCTTGACCTTAAGTGTCCCTGAGTTGTTCTGCAGGGGAACAATCTATGATCCTTATCAGAAGGGAGTGGGCCCTTCTTAGGGTGGGGCAGACAGCCTTCAAGTATATAACGGCTACTATGTGCTTGTAAGCAGCACCTTAAAACTGGCACTGTTAGGAGGCACATTGTGTGGATAACTTTTAGTTCTGAGAATGTGACTGAGGCCTCCCTTCCCAGCTGCTTCCCACATGGCAGCACAGGAACAGCAGCAGAGGAGAAGGCCCTCAAACACAGGGATGGATGCGCCTGCGAGAACGGACTCAAGCATGAGACCAATGGTGAGGATGGTGTTTCCTTCCTTCTGTTGTGCAGAGGGTTGCTATGGGTCAGACCAGTCTCAATGGCACCTAACAACGACATGAAGTGTTGTTGATCAGGCAAGGAAAAGATAATGTGCTATCCAGATTCCTGGGGGTCTGTTGGATACTCCAGAACAAAACACCTGTTTAATAATTTACTGTGGAAAACATGCCGAACAACAAAAAACGCTTTTATTGACTAGTCAGTATATTCTTCTGTACAAAAACCTCTACCAGAAAGCACAACATAATCAGAAGGCTGGTTCAGTGGAAAAGAATTCGGACCCATCAATCACCATGATACATAGTTTAAATCTCCACATCTTCACCATGGACAGATACTTACCATGAGGCCCAGAATTGGCTGATGAGCACTTCCTCTCAGGCTAGAATAGGCAGTGATAGCCTTCTGTCCTCTCTATTACTATCTCAAAGGAGCACTGGTGATGTTATGTGTTAAGACATTTGGCTGCTAACCACAAGGTCTGAGATTCAAACCCACCAGCTGCTCTCCAGGAGAAAGATGAGGCTGTCTGCTGTTATGAAGATGAGCATCTCAGAAACCCCATGGGGTACCAACCTCCACAATCGAATGGGTCCAAGGGGCAGTTGTGTAATTGAGAGGCAAAATTAAAGAGACATCCGACAAGATAAAGCATGCAAGTGGTCACCTCCAGGACGATCATGACTTCAGGAACCAGATCCGAGTAGACAGAGTGAATATATTTGCAACCAAGGCTTATATACATTATAGGGGCATGCCAGTCCCCCTAATTACAGGTAACCACATGCATAACAGGAATGGGTTACACTAGAGGCATACTTGAGACAGGAAGGCACATACATAACAAGATGGGCAGCAGGCTCTATAGTCACGATGGCAGCCTAACCATGATCTTTGAGTTGGCTTGACCTCAGGTGTCTTTGGGCTCTCCTTCAGGGGAACAACCCATTATCCTTAGCAGAAGGGAGTGGGCTCTACTGAGGGTGGGACAGACTATGGGTCTGATTGCTCTCCATGGCTGATAAACCTTCAAGCAGATAACCTTTAAGCAGTTGACCTCCAAGTGTTTAGTCAGGGACTATGTGTTTGCAAGCAGCACCTTGGGTTTGGCCTATTTAAGAGAACAGCGTGTGAAATTTTGTTTCCTGCTTGGGAAACATGCTGCAGAAACTGTTGTGATGTGGAACAGAGCTTATAAGGACAGCACTATGGGAATAACTCAAGTGTATGAATGGTTTTCTCCTTTCAAAAAAGGTGAAGTGTTGATTAATGACAAACCCTGTTCTGGATGTCTGACCAATGGTTGTACCTTCGATGGATGGGCTTTTAAGACCTCAGTTGCTACTCACCACAGTAGGATGTACAACATTGTCCTTGCGAGTTGTTATGCCAATTGACCTTGGTGCCCCTGGAGACTGTAGTCCTGAACCCCTAGGCCCAGTTATTGATACCTTCCTGGTGTTTGGATATGTCTTAGAAGTTTCCATCACTTTGCCCTCTGTGTGCTCCACCACATTCATGGATGTGTTTTCAGTAAAGGGAAACACACCTCTCGGTGAAGGTGGTGCTACCTATTGACTCCGTTATAGTGGAAAAAGACTCTCCAATTCAAATATATATATTCTTAATATACATAAACATTGTATACAAATAAAATGTAAAATAAATATACAAATTAAACTGTTCTATACTATAGATTCAGAATACTTTAATATGCAAATTTGAGTACTTATATATACTTCTAAAATACATACTTGAGTTGGGGCATCTCTTTTTCCCCATAACAGAGTCAATAATTAACACAACCTCCAAGGTTCAGAATGATCTCATTCATTCATTAATTCATCCATCTATCCAATAAATACATATTTTTCACCTAACAACTCAGTTACTGAGTTAGTATAGACTCAATGTCAATGGCCTTTTTTTCTTTTAAACAATATTTGCCAAGAATTGTCCTAGCAGCTGAACTGGGACAATAACAAATAGGTCAGCCTCAGTCCCTACTGCCCGGGCACCGGGTGTAGGGGTGCGGTGGGGTCAGAGTGTCTCAGCTGGAATGATGACAGCAGTGGGGAGCAGGGGCTCGGGGTGCAGTGGGGTCAGTATCTCAGTTGTAATAATAATAAAGGCATCAGCATCCGAGAGGAGTGAGCTTCAAAAGCAGGAGTCCGGGCCTCAGAATTACCACGTGTAAAGCAGAACCTACCTTACAAGGCTGTTCTAAGAATCGACGGTAACTGGTACAGTGCTTAGCATCCAGTGGGCCCTCAGTCAATGACAGCGAGGTTGTGACTCCTCATGGAGTGGTGGCATCGGGTGGCAACACATGCGGCCAGTGCTGAGATAAATCCTGAAAAGCCTTCGCAGCTGGCACTCACGCAGCGAGTCTCCAGGATTTCTGAGTACCCTGGCTCCCAGGTCCTCCCAGAACTCGCCCAGGTCCGCAGCCGCCGCCACCTGCAACGAGTGTGCCGGAAGCACGGCGCTACTTCCTCCTGAGCCGCTGCGGGGGCCATAGCGAGGTCGCCACGCCCTGAACGCATGCGCAACCTGCACGCACGTACGCACGCACGCACGCACGCACGCACGCTCGCGGCCCGGCCCGCCCAGTCCACCCCAGAGGCGGGGCCGTGCGGCCTGGGCTCCGCCCCAGAGCGTCCGGCCCCGCCCCGGGGCCCGCCTCCGGCTCTCCGGGGATCCGCGGGAGCCCGGAACTCGCGGCTGGGAGAGCCCAGGCACTTTAAGGAGGGGGCGGGCCCCAGGGCGCTAGTCCCCGGAGCAGTTGCCGCGGGGACTGGGCGGTGACGCGGTCGGAGGGCGGAAGAGAGAAAGTTGTCGCCGTCCCGGGCCGAGTTTGGCGGATCCGTGCGCGGGCCGCGGCGATGGGGGGCTCGGGTAGTCGCTTGTCTAAGGAGCTGCTCGTCGAGTACCAGGTGCGCGGGACACCGGTTCCCTGGGAGCTGGCGCGCGGCCCGGCCCAGGAGCGGGGTCTCGGCGGGCGGCGGGCGGCGGGGCGTGCGTGGCCTCGGCCTCGGGGTGGCTGGCTGACCCCCTTCTCTGGCTTTGCCTTCCAGGACTTGACGTTCCTGACCAAGCAGGAGATCCTCCTGTAAGTGCTGCTTCGCATCCCTGCCTCCTTCCTCCGGGGCCCTGGCGAGGTTTAAGGGGGCGCTGTTCTACAGGGCTGGGGCCAGGGCCCGGTTTGCGGGAGTTCCACGGCGGAGCCCTCCTGCGCGCGGGCCCCCCAGTATTGCCCTGCTAAGCCCCTTACAGTCCCCAGGAAAACTTGGGGCCGCCCTTTGATTCTGCTCGCCACTGGCTTCTTCACTTGACTTCAGCACTTCCTGCTGCAGGCCACCAGGGGCTGCCGTGGCTCTGGGCTGATTTTGCCCACTGGCAGATAGAAGCCAGTGATACCTGACTGCATCTCCCAACCATACCTTAATAATGTTGTAACCGTTAACGCTTGCCTTGCGCCTGGAACTGAATTAAATGGCTGCCTGCATTACCTGAGTCCATCATCACGAGGCTGGCATTGGGATAATGAAACAGGTTCAGAGAAATGTGGTAGCTTGCCTAAGACTGGACTGCCCTCCCAGGATTGGACTTGGGGCTGCAACCCGGCTTTCTAGCCAGTGGCAGCTTTAATGTGGCCCGAGATACTTGCGCGATGAGATTCCTGGGCTTCCCTTTAAGAAAGAGAACCCCAGAAGGAAAGAGGTGGGAGCTGAGAACAGATGGTTCATGGAAGCTGATAAAGAGAGGGAGGCTTTGAGGAACCACAGATCCCTGGGGTGAGAACAACGTATCAATTCTGCTCTCCCCCACTGTTGTTCAGGACAAGCTTCTGGCTTCTTGCCCCAACTTCTCCATCCCCAGGACCTGTCCCCAGCACAGTGCCTTGCGCATAGCAGGCCCTCCATCAATATTATGAGAATGGATTCCCAGCCAGGTGATATACAGGGAGTCCCCGGGTGGCACCAACTGTCTTTATGCAGGATTTGTATATAAATTGGCACAGTTAGGTACAGGGCTCATTACTAATGTTGACTAGTCAGATGTTGGCTTAGTATGTAGTGTACTTTTCTCTGCATAAATAAAAGCATTAAAGGAGCACTTTTAGATGTACCCAAAAGATCCTTAATCCAGTAATTGTATTTTTAAAACAAGCCAGTTTATTTTTAACAGTTTTACTGACATACAAGTCACATGTCATACATTTCAGTCGGTTAATCATATTCATAAGAGTTGTGCAGCCATTACCACTATAAATTCCAGGATATTTATTCTTTGTACCAGTTGTTGCAGTAATACTTCACAGGGCCTTTGCAGGGCCCATTTGTGGATCATTTTATATTCTTTGAGTTTTAACATACAGGGTTGGCTTGTAAATACATGTTGTCCATAAGTGGAATATTCATCCCCGGGGGTTGCTTGCATCTCTTTCTGCCTTACCGTGGGGTGATGACTTTTCAGGAGGCCTTGGTAATTGCAAGGAGTGGGGCTGTAATGTACACAGGCAGGAGGGCTGTGACGTGGGGCATGAGCCAATGAGTTGCCCTCTCTCTGGCAGAGCTCACAAGAGATTCTGTGAGTTGCTTCCCCCGGATCATCGGAGCACGGAGGAGTCACTGCAGGCACGAGTGTCCTTCCAGCAGATCTTCAGCCTTCCAGAGCTCAAGGTCCCTGCCCGCACCCCCTGCCCTCGCCATACACATTCCCTCTGCTAGGTTCTCTCCTTCCTGCCACTGCCCTTGAGATCATGCGTTTCTTAGACCCCATTCTGGTTTGTTCTCTGTGGAACCTCACCCCAGAGCAATATCTGGAACAGTGTTTCTCACCTGAGGTTCTAGGACATAGTGTCAGCAGTTCAAAGAAGTCTTATCTTTTTTTAAAGACTTATCTTTTAAGACAGAAAACTTGTGTCTTATAAAAGCTTGAGCATCTTTGTCCCAGTGGCTGACTGCCACTCTGTGTAGCTGCTAGGACAATGACTATGCAGGGGCCTATCCCAGTGCATGGCATACAATAGGCGTCTAATTAATTGTGTTTTCAAATAACCTGCTCAGTGGGTCCTCCTCTGTCCCTTCCATGTACTGGCCATGTGCCTTACTGTAAGCCTGAGCCCTGTGGGGCGGGTGCTCTGGGCTGCAGCCTAGACTGTGGTGTTCATGGAAGGCTCTCTTGTCTAGGCTAACCCCTTCAAGGAGCGAATCTGTCGGGTCTTCTCCACCTCCCCAGCTAGAGACAACCTGAGCTTTGAGGACTTCCTGGACCTCCTCAGTGTGTTCAGTGACACAGCAACCCCTGACATCAAGTCCCACTATGCCTTCCGCATCTTTGGTAAGGACCTGGGGGTATGGCTTGGAAACTTAGGGCCATTGAGGAAAGAGCCTTGGCGAGATCATCCTGCCCACACCCTCTTTAGCCTCTGGTATCTGCCCTCCAGACTTTGATGATGATGGGACCTTGAACAGAGGGGACCTGAGCCAGCTTGTGAACAGCCTCACAGGAGAGGGCGAGGACACCCAGCTGAGTGCCTCAGAGATGAAGCAGCTCATTGACAACGTGAGTGCTGGGCCAGGCCAGGCTGGAAGGGGAAGGGAAGGGAAGGAGAGGAGGAGGGGCTTTGGTCCGAAGTTCTGTTTCCCAAATAGATTTTGGAAGAGTCTGACATCGACAGGGATGGGACCATCAATCTCTCCGAGTTCCAGCACGTCATCTCCCGTTCACCAGACTTTGCCAGGTAAGACGGTGGGCCCTGCATTTTGGTGGCCTTCAGACCCCACTGCTGCCACCCCATGTGAGCTGTGATGGGGGAGTACGGGGGGTGGGGGGCGGTGGCACCTGGGGAGAGAGAATGCTCCCTGCTTCCTGAGTATCTCAGGGTAGTCTTTGTTCGACAGGGAGTTGGTAGAGAGGGCACAGCCAATTCCAAAGTGAGTTTCAGGGGAGAGGTGGTTAAGTGTGGGTTTCGTCTCAACAACTCTTTACCCCCACCTTTTCAGCAGAAAACCCAACTTACTCTTTTTTGGTTCAGCTCCTTTAAGATTGTCCTGTGACAAGAGCTCCAGTGTGTGGTCCCAGCACCCAGTCCAAGAACCTTTGCAATAATGCTGAACTGTGGCCAAAGCTACACCTGCGTTGCTAGAGCCAGCCGGCCAAGCTGGCTCAGCTCAGAGCTGGCCAGTCTCCCCTGGGTAGGGGAGGGCTGGCTGTGGCCAGGCCTCTCCCCTTCTCACTTCCATTGTCATTGGTCTGTCCCTATGGATTGAACAGTAATAAAGGTTTAGACATTTTGATCCTGTGTGACATTAAAAACACTGGGAGAAGGGAGATGTGGACTTCTAGGAGCCTTCTGTCAGACTCAGAATCAAGCAGGTCTGAAGGAGGAGCCTGGGGGCTGCTAACAGTTAAGCACTGGACCACTCATTAAAAGGCTGGCAGTTCCAGCCTGCCCATACGTGCCTTGGGACAAAGGCAATCTTTTGAAAACTCAGCTGTGGAAAAGCCTATGGGGAGCCAAAGAGAGGGAAACGCGTCTACAAGACGGATACTTGACACCATAGGTTCCCAAACTTATTAAGCCTACCACCCTCTCTCTTTTCAGAAAAAAAAATTACTCAGCATACCCTGGCAATAAAAAACTTGTACTCTGATATAGAATCCATCGGTAAAGTGTAGGCATCTGCTTTTGCAGCCCCCCTGGATTGTACTAGTGCCTGTCAGAGGGCAAGTATCATCCACTTTGGCAACACTGCCCTACATGAACAATGGCCTCATTTACCCCGAGACCCAAAGAGTTAGATGGTGCCCGATAGAATGGGCAGGGAGCCAGTAAATGTTCCCAGGCAGCATGGGAGTACAATGCAGGGCAGAACTCAAATTCTTAAAAGAGGCGAAATTTACTGCACCAGAACCCAGAGGTTCACAGAAGACGATCATGCAGGGACACCCTTAAACTTTGAACAGAAACTATTCCCAGAGGTCACATTTCAGCTAAACAACAGGTTGGCTCATAAAATAGTGACCGTGAGTACCATGTGCCTGTAAAATGTAACAGGAAGATACAGCAGCCACTCAAACCCACCCTCAGTGAGAGCAGTCACCTTAAAGCAAAGTGGAGGAGGAGGTAGGGGGCCAGGAAAGCAGGTGAAAGGAAGTGGAGCAGTCAGACCAGAAATGAAAAGATCGCACACTGTGGGAATTGTCACCCATGTCACCCAACAATATGTAGGCAAATTGTTTGGAGAGAGCCTAATGCAGTGTCAGTTTGCACCCAGAACCCATTTTTTCAAACCCGGTGGAGCACAGTTCACTCTGACATGGTAAGCTCTTTCAAGGGCCGGACTCAGTCATACAGCACCATTTTGTTCATTGTTTTCAGAGGCCAGCAGGAGATGACTCCCCCAGCCCTCCTCCCTGGGGGCAGAAGGGGCTAGTTGCGGGAGGATGGGTGAGGCTTCCTACTCCTGTAGCCCACAGGGGCGGTTCTGCCGGTTGCGCTGAGTCTGGTTGGCTGCTTCCACACTAGTCTGACTATGAAGAGGGACATGAAGGGTGGCATTCTACTGACTCCTCAGGAGTTTCAACTTGGGTTAAAGTTTGTAAAACTATAGTCCAGAAAAAGCCCTCAATTTAAAATGTAATTTTGAAAATAAAAATTATAAGAGTATATCAAAAGAAACCCGTCTGCTCTGTGCACACTTTCCCATCCATTCCCTCCACCCCTCCACACCCCCCCCACGCCCGCCCCCTTCCCCCTTTCCTGAGGTGAATCAGGGATGAAAGTGTAAGGGGTTGAGGTAAAACAAATGGGCCCCAACAGGCCACAGCCACCTCCCCTCACCTCATGCTACTGGGGGTGCAACTCCCCACCTCCACTGGGAGGTGAAGAAGACCAGCTCAGCTGCCTCTCGCTGCCTAGAGGAAGCTTGGAACCTCTCGGAATTAGACTAACCTCAAAAAGCAATTACACTGATAACACAGAGTATCGCATGGGTCATCACAATTGCTATCAGTAAGTTCTACACTTGTAAAAAGCTGAATTGGCAAAAAGTATGAGATGCATGATAATAATGAGAGTAGCTGCCGAGGTTGCTTTTGTACAACCAAGCATCTCATGGGATTTGCTTTCTTAGCGGTTTAGCGTAATCGTTTCATGGAACATCCCAGTTAATTGACCTAAGAATGTGTTTACTGCTTCTTAGTGCTTCTGTTCTACCTCCTAGCTCATTGCGTGGCGCCCGGGGTCTGGAAACATGAAAGTGGTAATTCAGGCACAATTGGGCTCTGTTCAGAATCTGAGACAACAGAGGACTGAGTCAGGAATTGGAGATGACATGGATGTTTGGCTAACTGCCTCCATGAACAATGGCTTCCTTTGCCAGGAGCAGAAAAACTGGATGGTACCTAGTTGTTACTGAACATTTTGAACACACAATTTTGATGAAAAAGAACCTACAGAATTTCAAATTCTCAGACTCTAGACTTTTGGGAGCAATGGAAGTCAGATGAACCCCTAAAACTACTGCCTTGAGCTAATCTTTAAACCTTAAACCAAAATTATTCCCCAAAGTCTTAAAGCCCATCACAAGTTTAATAACCAGTGGGTCTCATCAGTGAGCAGTATGCTCTTTAAAGCACTAACTATAAAACCCAAACCAGACCCACTGCCATGAAGCCCATTCTGACTCATAGCAACTGTGGGAAGCAGAAAAGTTATTCCCCAGGTTGTCCCCCCATAATGTGTGCCCAACCTAAGGTGCTGCTTGCAAACACATGGTCCCTGACTATACACTTGATCAACTGCTTAAAGGTTATCTGCCATCTAGAGCAATCAGACCCTATAGCAATGGTTCTCAACCTGTGGGTCTTGATCCCTTTGAGGGGTCGAAAACAACCCCTTCACAGGGGTCGCCCGATTCCTAACAGTAGCAAAATAACAGTTATGAAGTAGCAACGAAAATAATTTTATGGTTAGGGGTCACCACAACATGAGGAACTGTATGATAAAGGGTCGTGGCATTAGGAAGGTTGAGAACCACTGCAGTCTGTCCCACGTGATAAGGATAATGGGTTGTTCCCCTGGAGGAGAGCCCAAAGACACCTGAGGTCAAGCCAACTCAGAGATGACCAAGGTTAGGCTGCCACCTTGACTCCACAAGGAAGAAAATGGTATAGAAGATGACAATTGTACAACTCTTGATGTGATTGAATTGTATGACGTGAATAAAGTGCTAATAAAGCTATTTTTTTTTTAAAAAGCTTATGAGCAGCATCTAAGGTACACTATTGTCACCTTGTCCAGGGGAAAGTGGTGACAGCCAACACCGGGAACGATCAGTCCTGCAGTGGACATCCAGTTACCGGGCCCTGAGACGGCACTAGATGGTGCCCAGCGTCACTCTCAACTGACTTGAAAAGGATCCCCTAGGGAAGTCCTGGGTAGAATGGGGGAATGAGTCACGGAATAAGAGTCCATGCTTACTGGCTGGAAAGAGATGGTGAGACTCCTTAGATATGCCTTTTGGCTACCCTGCAGGTCTGGCCTTGAACTCACCCCCGTAGCCCAATTTTCAGTCAGACGTCTCCCAGGGGAACACCACGAGGGAGGTGTGCACACCTGAGAATAACCAGCCAGATCAGACAAAGCTCAGAAGCATTAGGACAGCAGAAGGCAAAAACCCAGGAAGCCCAGGAGGAAGTGGGGAAAGTGATGTTACATCAAGGGCATGGCAATGAATAAAACGAAACAATATGAGTTGTGTATTGTGAAACTGACAATGTTCTGTAAGCCTTCACCCCATTCACAAGGGTTGTTTGTTGTTAAGTGCAGGAGGAGGCAGACTGACACCAGCAACTTCAGAGGTTAAACAGGAACTTTGAACTTGAGGGGGCAGTGAGTTTACATTAATGAGGGAGGAACAACTCGGCAAAGGAGAGAGAATGGATCACCAAGTTGAATGTAATCACTGTCACGGAATGGGAGAAACTGATGAATTGGTCCAAGTTTTGCTCAACAACAAAGTAAAATGCAGAAAGCAACAATCATTTAAGAGGAAAGGCCACGATTTCTATTCTTCAGATTTTATTTAAAAAAAAAAAAGTAAAGTGCATTTTATTAAAAAAAACATATAAAACCCACATAAAGTCACGGCCTCTGTGCCGGGCGTCATCAATGTCTCGTGAGCGGCAGTGTTGGGTGAGGGGGGACTTGGGCTGAGCAGTATCAGTTCCTGCCCTGGGATGCATTAAGAGGGGGCTGGGTGGATGTGGGTCCCTCAGCCTGGATTGGAGGAAGGCAGGCAACAGTCTCCTCTTCCCACTCTGAGCAACAGGACCACGGGGTGGCACACATCCGCTCCAGAACTCACGTCACTCTCATGTGGCCACAGCACTGGCCGAGGGCTGTCGTGCCTGCCTAGTGCTCTGGTCCCTGAGGTGGCGGGATGGTGGTGGCTACAATACCATCAGCTGACTGGCAGGAGCCTAGTGGCAGCCTGGGGCAGCAGGATAAGGCGGAAGGCAGAAGACGCTCGTTGGTGAGGGGTTCTCACTGTGCCCCAGCACTGCTTTGGAAGGGCTGCGCTGTCCGGGGCCACGCGAGGCCGAGGGGCCTGTGAACCGGCCGGAGTGACTGCAGGGGTGGCCTGCTTTGCTGTCCCTCACTTCTACTTCACATTTTCATTTAAAACAAACAAAGGGCTCAGTTTGTCTACGTAGCACTGTTCCGCCCATCTGGGCAGCCCCCATTGAACCAGGACCTCTGGGGCCCTGGCTGTGGGGGCACTAGATAGAGCAGCAGGCTAGCTGGCTCTGTCGTGCCTGTGGCCAGATCGCGGCTCAGTCTGCCACGACAGCGGCTTCGCTGGCCCCTCTGAGCATTCTGGGACCCCTGAATCCTGGGGCCCTCCTCTGAAGTCCATGCTCACACCACAGAATCCCGGATCTCGGAGCCCAGGCGCACCCGGGGCCGCGGGCACACGGGGGACACCTCCACAACGCTGTCCTGGATGCTGAGCGGCCTCTTCTCTGACTCAGTGAAGACCCGGGGCCCCAGGGGGACATCGGACAGGGCCTGGTAGCCTCGGTGGTGGTCCAGTGGGGTGCTGGGAGGGCCGACACCGTTGAGCGGACGGGTCTCAGGCACGGAGCGGGCCTTTGGGTGCACGCTGGCACACTCGCCCTGCTTCAGGAACACTTTCATGCTGTTCCGGTACCGGTAGAGGAAGAACAGAGTCAGGAGGACCACGGTGAGTCCGAAGAGCACGCACATCACCAGGAACTCGCTCCAGTAGGACCTGTCGGCGCCCCAGCTGGCCTGGCCTGCAGCAGGCGCGCTCACGCGGGACGTGTTGATGATGACGGGTACGCTGCCACCCCGACCTGCTCGTTCTGCCGCTCGGTCTGCCACTACCTCCGGGCAGTAGCTGACCACCAGCTGCTGGAAGCCATCCTCCTCCGACCAGCATTGGAACAGCCCCAGGCCCTGCTGGCTGCCCACCAGCAGCAGGTCCCCGGTGGGCAGTACCCGGCAGGAGATGGAGGCATTGACAGGGGCTCCATTGTGCAGCCAGAGCCGCGTGGCCAGGTTGGAGACCAGCGGGCATGCCAGGGTGTTCACCGTGTTGGGCTGGAACTGGACCTGCTCACATGCCGCCTTGGCTGTGGGCAGAAGAGGCACTGGGTGAAGGGGGGTGGGGGGATATCCCAGGAGCCCTGGGCCTGCCCACTTCTCTCTGGACTATGCTCCCCGATGGCAGGCACAGGTAGCTCTGGGGACACCTGACATTGGCCCAGTGTCACGTCCCAGGGTCCTACTTCTAGGCCTGAGGATGAGGAGGTGAGCAGTGGCATTTACACCCGTCAGTACAGTCATGCTTGGCCACACCTCTCACCTCCACCCTCAGGTGGGTGCCTACCTGGTAAAGCAGCAGCCCCCGATGTGGGCCAGGATGTGTTGCACAGGCTCTGGGCATTGGCCCCCTCGATGTCCTGGATCCATGACCTGAGGACCACAGGGAGGGAGTCTGAGACAGGCTAGGAAACCCCTATAATCCTCCGGTTCCTGAGCCCTCAGGGCAGGGCGAGCTGCCTGGGGCTCAGACACCACCAGGTCCAGACCAGGCAGCCTCCCAGTGTTATTCCCTCACCTCCTGCAAGGGCTGACTCAATATCTCCTGTCTATAAATGATTCCTTTCAAACAAAGTGACGGCAATGTTTTTCCTTTATTACAAGAGGAGCATGTGCCCTCAGGAAAAGTCTAGAAGGCAGCTGGGTCTGTGTGCACACACCTGTCCCTTTTATCCACAGTGCACAGGCATTGACTTGCTTAAGAGAAAACAGCTAAGAAGAAAAACAGTTATTGCTGTGTGGAGATGTGGAAAACTCAGCCACTCACAAATGGATAAAAACACTATAAAATATACTCATAATCTCCCTACCCAGAGATGGTGACAGCTGACCTGTCTGGTGTGTCCCTCCAGGTGTACATTTGCACACCCCTACTGGTAGACAATCACTGGCGGGACAGAAGTGGCTTAGGGTCCACAGTACATTGGTAGGGCCTCATCAGCATACCAAAAGGCCCAGCCCTATTCCTAACAGGATCAGACCACAGGGCCAGGGCCCAGTAACTCAACAGGTGTGCTTTAGGGACACAATTTGATCAATGACGACAGTGACCTGGTTTGAAAGCAGGGGTTTAAAAGACATCAATGAATGTGGGGTCACACTGGAGCAGAATGAACTCTGTTTCAATCTGAGTAGTATCCTTATTTTAAAAAATACATGACGTAGACAGTATGGGAATTGAGCCCGATCTGATCCTGCCAGACCGAGGCAAAGCACTGGGGGGGTGCAGCGAGACAGCAAGGGAATGGAGTGACGAAGTCCCCAGGGAATGCTGAAGGTGGACTTTGGGGCCAGGGCGTGGTGCCCCAACAGACTGGACTGGAAAACACTCCTAAAGGCCAACAAACGATCCTTGAACTAACTACAAGCTTTTCTTTCTTGTGTTTTGTTTTGTTGTTAGTTGTTGTTTTGTTGTATATTGTTGCTT